TTGCGGTAGCTATAGAACAAACACTACTTTATAGTTATTTCACTATTATAGTTGTTGATGATGTAGCTCTTGCTCTGCAGTAGCAGTATAATAATAAAATAAACATATATTATCCTTCTTGATTTTCAGCAATAATGGAGACTCAAAAAAGTGACATGCATCATGTGCCATCCATTATGACCTTTAAAGAATCATCTGAAAAATTGTCAAGTGATGAACACAAGACACAGCTAGTGGGATCAAGTGAAAGTGAGTTTAAATATTTAAATAATATATTTTAGTTTCTTTGCAGAGCAGCAATATATGTCTTTTCAAATCAAACATCCTTTTTAATTTCCACATGCAATAGGGAGATAAAAATATTACACATCAGATATGCCATCCACTAACCCCTCCAGAACATATTCAGCTGTTCCATGGCTAAAGGCCTGTTTATACTTGCAACGATAATGATAAAAAGCTAAACAGTGGTAACAAGTGAATATGAGTTTAATTATTTCACTATCATAGTAGTTGCTGTTGATGTTGCTCATGCTCTGCAGTAGCAGTAGATTAAAACAAACAACCATATTATCCTTCTTAATTTACAGCTATAACAGAGATTCAAAAAAGTGACATGCCTGATGTGCCATCCACTATGAGCCTTGAAGGAACATCTGAAGAACTGTCAAGTGATGAATACAAGGCTCAGCTAGTGAGACCAAGTGAAAGTGAGTGTTTAAAGATTTCAATGTTGTTATTATTATATTGTTTTTTTATTTTTAGTAATTCTGACGTATAACACCAGATTGTGTTTCTTGGAAATGTATTTGAACATTAACCACAGGTTATTTTAATAATTGAGGTCAATGTTACCAAATGGACTAGATATTTATTCTCAATGGCTATGTCAGAAATTAATTCGGAGTTAAATCAAATATTTTAAGATATGTCACACGATAAAGAAATGTTAAAAAAAAGCTCTGTGTAAAGTAACTTGGATGTTTGCTTGATAATGATATTGCTGGTAAATCCATGATTTTTTCTGTTAATATCAAGAAATCAATGGTGACCTGAAATTTTATACCATAACATTAATTTTCTTAATCGAGGCACAAAAAATTATTAAGCCATTAAGCCACCATGTAATGTAAAATACAATGCTTATTTTTTGCTATTTTTTTTGCTGTTGAACCGTCATCTTTATCCATTTTATCCATTGATGTCAGTACAATCATCCAAATGCATCAGCATTTATTATCATGTCGTAATTATGTTTAAGTTTTCTCTTTTGTGATAACTCTCATCATCCTCTTTCTTTTCATGATTTTCTTTATTTTTCTAAATGCTTTTTCTTTTATACAATAAAATAGCGACCAATGAAGATATTGTTATAACATTAAATATCATTAGATTTAAGTGTCATTTATGTTTTATTTACCAACTGCCTAATTACTGCTGTTACAGGCTGAGGCTATCGGCAATGCCGCAGTGCGAAAAAAACCTGCTGTTTTCTATCAGAGCTGCCGCAGTGTGTAAAAGCTGCTGTTTTCTATTGGCACTGGCACAGTGCGAAAAAAGCTACTGTTTTCTGTCGGCACTGCCAGAGTGTGAAAAAAGCTGTTATTTTCCATTGGCATTATTGCCGCATTGCGAATAAAACTGCTGTTTTCTATTGGCACAGCCGCAATGCCAAAAAACTGCAGTTTCCTATTGGCAATACCATATTCAAAAAGGTGTTGTTTAATTAATCAAAATGGATGTTTTGAATGATAGAGGACATTATTGTATCAATAATTGATTAGGTCTAAAATAATAATAATAATAATACCAGTAATAATAAGAGCTCAAATAATACTTTAATAATACTTTAATAGGCATATTTACGATAGCTTGATTAATGAGAGAATAATGAATCAGCATATTAAATCGACACATATGAACACAAGACACAGCTATTGGGATCAAGTAAAGTGAGTTAGCTCACTGTTGTTGCAAGTTGTTGCTCTTGATCTGCAATAGCAGTAGTAGAATAAAACAAAAAACCATATCTTTTTAATTTTCACTTATAATAGAGATTAAAAAAAGTGGCATGCCATATGCCGTCACCCTTGGAGAAATATTTGAAGAACTGTCAAGTGATGTTGTTTGGTATATTTTTGAAATTGTTTCCAGTAGGAATTTTTTTTTCATCTGTCAATAAACCCCAACTATTGAATAAATCAAGGCCTCATTCTGCAGCCGAAAACAACAGATATTTGCATCTTATGTGCTCTTGTAATTTTTCCATAGGGCCTGTAAACAATAGTTCACATTGCTGCTTCCACACCTACTGTTTACTGCATTCTTGGTCCTTCAGTGAGGATGAGTATGACAGTGGAGTATGTATTACGTGTCAGCCAATTTGTTGCCCATGGTCTTGTCAAAAATAGTCGCTGATTATTATGGAATCGTAGTAGTCCCAATTTATAAAAAAGGTGATAGAAAGAATTTAAATAGCCCCATACTAAGCCTCAACATTTTGTGTTAGGCCATTGCTAATTAATATTTGTAAATCGTTTTTTATCAATAATCAACTGTAGCACCATTTTTTAGGCCTTAATACAAATAGATTACACTAAGTGGTGTACCATTATGATCTATTATGCGCTTGAGGAGCCAGGCAGCTAAGGAAAGGAATATTTTCCTCTTAAAATTGTGCTTTTTACCTTAATCTGATTTGATTGTTCTGTTTCATGCGTCCGTGAAGGTTTGTGGAAGTTTTCTGTAGTGTTTTTTTGGAATTCCTCTGTTTTTTTAAAGTACTGTGATCATGTTATTTTTGAGCTGTTTCCTTGCCCTGGCTTCATTTAATCAAAAGACATAGCTAGTGACTAACACCCTTGGATTGACTATTGTTCTAAGCATTGCATGCACAGACTAGCTCACAGTGAACCGAACCCGCTGGTGTTACATAACCCACATTCCAGATCGAGGGAGTGTCGTAAACTAGTGCACCCAAGGCCGGCTGAGTACTCCCTGTATTCTTGTTCAGTGTCTGTTACTACTGTCATTTTTTAACTTTGTTTCTGTTGCTGCATTTTAACGTTTTTGATAATTTTGTATATAGATATTTTAGAAGATTTTAAAGTGGATTTTAACCCTGAGGTAGGCGCCAAGCAGCATTAAAAAGATATGATTTACACAATTAGCGAATTTTATAAAATTGGCGAACGGTGTACAGCAATTCTGGTCAAAGATTTTTTCTCCAGAATTAGCCGTCTTAGAACAGCGGCAACCAGACCATGCAGATGTAGTGTCAGCAGGAACAAACAGAGGCATATATTACCTGTAAGGGTAACATCATCTCGAATATACGACCGGACTCAACACATTAAAAATAAAGGAAGTAATTGTATTAACTCAAGTGTTGTTTCTAAACTGACCAATCGACCAAGTTTTTTTTGGTCATGTGGATAACTTAACGCTGATTAACACACTTAATCATTTTTGTTGTCAACGAAGACTATTTTACAAACCAGTCGAATGAAAATAATACTCAACGAAAAATCTTAGTCAACGAAATGAACCAGTCGATTAAGCCCATTGTTGGCTCTTTTTAGAATACATAAGGAAAATAACCTTTTTGAAGCTCTAGAAACCATCTCTGAAACATGGGAAGCCCAAGAAAGCTTGTCCTAATTCTTAATCCCGAGAAGCTTTATATGGGAGACTTATATCCTATGCAATAGCTCATGTAATTTTCCTTACAATCTCTCAAATTATCAATTCTCAATCTCATTAAAAAAATAAGGGCATTCCACAACAATTATTATTGTATAATTAGCAACTTAGGCAGATGAAATAAAGTCTTTTATCTGGATCCAGAACCAAAGCAAATTATGATGCAATTGGCATTTTGCCGTAGAGGCTGGGATCCAGCTAATTTTTTCTTATTTTGAACTCACTGATTAAGAGAACTTGGTAGATCCTCCAATTTTTTCATGTAAGTGCCTAATTTGCATATTTAAAATGGCATTCATCCAAACGTTTAAGACAAACTTTATATGGCAATATTAGGCTTTAAAAATTCTGTCCTATGATCACTTCTTTCAGAGACTAGAAAAAGTGAGGCCATGAAACTATATCTTTTCCTTCATAAAATTCACAATTATACATTTAATGGGCTTAAATTAACCTGATTTTGAACTGTTTATTTAGTGAATTTAGCCTCAAATACACATGAATCAATTATCTCATTAAAAATTTAGTATTCAATCAATCTAGTATTTAACATCTCAGAAAAAATATCGTGTACAAACTGGTAATAGCCATCTAAAAGAATCACCCATTCAAAAGAAAATTACATCAACCTTTAATAGTAAATTACAGTAATAGAGCCTGGGTTCCAGGCCATAAACTTTTTTATTGCACTTGGTGTGCACCATACCAAAGTTAATTGGCATTCCATACCTTATTTCTTTGATGAGAAAAAAATATTAAAGGACTTACGGCTAATCTATGATAGATCATAAATTAAGAAAACAAATTTAGATAATTTGAAAATATATAAAAACAAATAAATGAATTAAAGCTTATGATATTACCTTTGGTATGGAAAAAAGATGTTAGTATAAAAAATTACTAACATCTTTAATTACCACTTGAGGTGTTTCTCCATACAAAGGGTACTATCATAAACTTTAATTCATTATTTGTTTTATTGGCAGATAAAAATAAAAAATAAAAAAATAATAATTAGGAAATATAATATACAGATAAATCACTGACATGTTTAATTTTCAATTGAGGAGGT